CAACTCACTAACCTCCCCCTACCACTCTCCCCCTCCACCACTTCTCCCTCACCACTCTCCCCCTCACCACTCTCCCCCTCACCACCTCTCCCTCACCCACTCTCCCCTCACACTCTCCACTCACCACTCTCCCCCTCACCACTCTCCCCCTCACCACTCTCCCCCTCACCACTCTCCCCCTCACCACTCTCCCCTCACACTCTCTCCCCTCACACTCTCTCCCTCCACCACTCTCTCCCTCACCACTCTCCCCCTCACCACTCTCCCCCTCACCACTCTCCCCTCACCACTCTCCCCTCACCACTCTCTCCCTCACCACTCTCCCCTCACCACTCTCCCCCTCACCTACTCCCCTCACCATCTCCCCCTCACCACTCTCCCCCTCACCACTCTCCCCCTCACCACTCTCCCCCTCACCACTCTCTCCCCCTCACCACTCTCTCCCTCACCACTCTCCCCCTCACCACTCTCCCCCTCACCACCTCCCCCTCACCACTCTCCCCCACCACTCTCTCCCTCACCACTCTCTCCCTCACCACTCTCCCCCTCACCACTCTCCCCCTCACCACTCTCCCCCCTCACCACTCTCCCCTCTCACCACTCTCCCCCTCACCACTCTCCCCCTCACCACTCTCCCCCTCACCACTCTCCCCCTCACCACTCTCCCCCCACCACTCTCCCCCTCACCACTCTCTCTCACCACTCACTCTCTCCCTCACCACTCTCACCACTCTCACCACTCTCACCACTCTCACCACTCTCTCCCTCACCACTCTCTCCCTCACCACTCTCTCCCTCACCACCACTCTCCCTCACCACTCTCTCCCTCACCACTGTCTCCCTCACCACTCTCCCCCTCACCACTCCCCCCCTCACCACTCTCCCCCTCACCACTCTCCCCTCACCACTCTCCCCCTCACCACTCTCCCCCTCACCACTCTCTCCCCTCACCACTCTCCCCTCACCACTCTCCACTCTCCACTCTCCCCTCACCACTCTCCCCTCACCACTCTCCCCTCACCACTCTCCCCCCTCACCACTCTCCCCCTCACCACTCTCCCCCTCACCACTCTCCCCCTCACCACTCTCCTCCCTCACCACTCTCCCCCTCACCACTCTCCCCCTCACCACTCTCCCCCTCACCACTCTCCCCCTCACCACTCTCCCCCTCACCACTCTCCCCCTCACCACTCTCTCCCCTCACCACTCTCCCCCTCACCACTCTCCCCCTCACCACTCTCCCCTCACCACTCTCCCCCTCACCACTCTCCCCTCACCACTCTCCCCCTCACCACTCTCCCCTCACCACTCTCCCCCTCACCACTCTCTCCCTCACCACTCTCCCCCTCACCACTCTCCCCCTCACCACTCTCCCCTCACCACTCTCTCCCTCACCACTCTCCCTCACCACTCTCCCCCTCACCACTCTCTCCCCTCACCACTCTCCCCCTCACCACTCTCCCCCTCACCACTCTCCCCCTCACCACTCTCCCCCTCACCACTCTCCCCCACCACTCTCCTCCCACTCTCCCTCTCCCCCTCACCACTCTCCCCCCACCACTCTCCCTCCCACTCCCCCCTCACCACTCTCTCCCTCACCACTCTCCCCCTCACCACTCTCCCCCTCACCACTCTCCCCCTCACCACTCTCCCCCTCACCACTCTCCCCCTCACCACTCTCCCCCTCACCACTCTCTCCCTCTCCACTCTCCCCCTCACCACTCTCCCCCTCACCACTCTCCCCCTCACCACTCTCCCCCTCACCACTCTCCCCCTCACCACTCTCTCCCTCACCACTCTCTCCCTCACCACTCTCTCCCTCACCACTCTCCCCCTCACCACTCTCCCCCTCACCACTCTCCCCCTCACACTCTCCCCCTCACCACTCTCCCCCTCACCACTCTCTCCCTCACCACTCTCTCCCTCACCACTCTCCCCCTCACCACTCTCTCTCACCACTCTCCCCCTCACCACTCTCCCCCTCACCACTCTCTCCCTCACCACTCTCCCCCTCAACCACTCTCCCCCTCACCACTCTCTCACCCTCACCACTCTCCCCCTCACCACTCTCTCCCTCACCACTCTCCCCCTCACCACTCTCCCCCTCACCACTCTCCCCCTCACCACTCTCTCCCCTCACCACTCTCCCCCCTCACCACTCTCCCCCCTCACCACTCTCCCCCTCACCACTTCCCTCCTCACCACTCCTCCCCCCTCACCACTCTCCTCCCTCACCACTCTCTCCCTCACCACTCTCCCCTCACCACTCTCCCCTCACCACTCTCCCCCTCACCACTCTCCCCCTCACCACTCTCCCCCTCACCACTCTCCCCCTCACCACTCCTCCCCTCACCACTCTCCCCCCTCACCACTCTCCCCTCACCACTCTCCTCCCTCACCACTCTCTCCCTCACCACTCTCCCCCTCACCACTCTCCCCCTCACCACTCTCCCCCCTACCACTCTCCCCATCACCACTCTCCCCCTCACCACTCTCCCCCTCACCACTCTCCCCCCTCACCACTCTCCCCCTCACCACTCTCCCCCTCACCACTCTCCCCCTCACCACTCTCCCCTCACCCTCTCCCTCACCACTCACTCTCTCCCTCACCACTCTCACCACTCTCACCACTCTCTCCCTCACCACTCTCTCCCTCACCACTCTCTCCCTCACCACCACTCTCCCTCACCACTCTCTCCCTCACCACTGTCTCCCTCACCACTCTCTCCCTCACCACTCTCCCCCTCACCACTCTCCCCCTCACCACTCTCTCCCTCACCACTCTCCCCCTCACCACATGTTAAGGGCGCTCCTAAAGGAATCTACAACCTTCGATGATTCCTTTGTGCGATTCAAAGAATCGATTCCTGGCGCATAGGAGGTTTCCATTTTGAATGACAGAGTTTTATTTTCATTGATATGTTATGTTTTAATGTTTTCAGGAGTTTTTAATAACATTTTTGCCCCGGTCAACGCCGGATATTTCCCGTTCGTAGCAGTTTATATCGACTTTAACCAACTTATAGTAAACGGGAATCGTCCGAATCTAAAGGAATCTACAACCTTCGATTCCTTTGCGCGATTCAGAGAATCGATTCTTGGCGCGTCGGGTTTATAATTTTGATTACACACTTGTATTTTCATTGGTATGTAATGTTTTAAAGTTTTCAGAAGATTTTAAATGTTTTTTCCCCCCGGGCAACGCCGGGTATATCGAGTTTATACCACAAAGTCGTCACTTGACACGGGTGGGGTGTCGAGGCCTAGTACCGTGCAGAGCCTCCGGCCTTGCCTAGATTGCCCATCCAGCTGAGGCTGGGTACTGGGGCCAATACCCCCCCCCCCCGCGCTACAATAATACTGTCTAATCGCTATAATTTTATTATCTACCGACCCTATAATAGTAATTGCACACATTGGGGTGGGGGGGGAGTGAAGAGGACGTGAAACTTTGATGAATTTACCTCAGAATCGCGTGTTAATGCGTGCACATATTTTTAATGGTAATTCAAAATGGCGTCCACCCCGCAGCGAACGCGTTGCTATCCGTTGCCAGGGGCAACCGCCGTGGTCTGCGCCGGCCGGCGAGAGTAAATAAATAAATAAAGCGTTAAATAAATAACTAAAGATAAATCGCACTAAATCGATAATCGGTCCGATTTAAAGTTTAGAGACGAAAAATCGGAAATGCCTAAGTTTACCGCGGGGCCGGGGGCGTGACCACCTGCAAAATTTAATCTCGCCGAACCCCACGGTCCGAGAGCTAAATCCCCCGGTAGGGAGCGTACGCGGACGGACGGACGGACAAAAAATGAATTATATAGGTTAGATTGCGCCCCCCCCCCCCCCCAAATTCACATTGTGTACAATATGGAAGCTAGCCACATGCCAAATTTCAAGTTTGTTGCATGTCAATAAGTGTGCTTAACATTTTGAACAGACACACACATTCACAAATTTCCCTTTTATAGAAAAATATAATATATGCATTGTCTTTTAAGCTGATAATCCTACTCGAGAAATATCCTTCTTCATGGCCTTGTCTCACCAGTGTCAGACAAAGAGCGCCAAAAGGCGGACAGTACAAAGACACTGCAGTATTAGCGCATTTATCGCTCTGGGTAAGCAGCTATATCATGGGACCTTATTTGCCAGTATCAAAGTATGACAAATAAGAATACCCTTTCTTCCAATACAGCAAGTGTTGAGATGTTGAAACACAAAATACCTTTTGCAGGAATCAAGTCTGCATTAGCCACACGTACTCGTGGTGAACATGCACCACAATATTGTTACGTAGGTCTCTGTCGTCAGCAAATTCAACACATGAAGTTGTCACGGGCTCATGCCATGCAGGTTGCACTTGGCATAACCAACAAGGACACCCAGTTAATAACAGGACAAAAACAATATGGTTTACTTAGAAAATGTAGTCCAGGAGGCTGGAGAATTCCGCACACTGATTGATGTAATGTTATTGATTTAAATAACGAAGTCACTAAAATGATGCCTTAAAGGGAACTGAAAGTAGAAAGCAAGCAAAAAAACGCAGCTCTAGTTATCAAAACACGATAATGCACATGTTGAATTAAAGTAATGGTGTAAAGTATTGCGATATAATAGCAGACAAATGTACTGTATACAACTTCAGTGTATGTTAAAACCCAAAATATGCTTAGGTTTTAAATGTGTGTGTTAAATAGAGTCCTGCATGCAAGGGTTTAACAATGCGCGATTTATTATCATTTGAGCTCACTCAATGGTGAGGTGAAGGGAAATTCTCACAGCCAAAATTAGTTTCTTAATTGCTTAATTTGGTTATAAGAATCGGTGAGATCATTATGTGGTCTTTACCCAAACATGAATCACGAATCGTGCTGTTGGATGTGAACATGGACGTTGCTATTTAAAAAAAAATGTTGATCGGTGTCCCTCAATACATAAATCCCTTAACAGGCCTCGGTTGTGTTTGGTGTCTGTCCCACATACCCCGCGCGCAGGTGTTCTGTGCCCCGTGCTGCTCGCAGAAGAGCCGGCTGAGGTACATGGAGAACAAGGAGGCTCGCGTGTGCATTCGCTGCCACACTCACATCGACAAAGGTGAGGGAATGACGGACGCATGCCAGATGCACCGCACGCACGCGTACACCAATGCGATTGCGGCGCAATTTACGTGAACGCAGGGGCGAAACGCAATCGCCATCTCCAGGCGCTTCGCAGGAAACAAACTATTCATAGTTGGGTAAAAACACCAGGCTGATGGAGACGACAAATAAAAATAAAAAAATCTAAAAAATAAAATAAATTTTAGCAACGTGCGCATGCAAACAGACGTGCCTCAAGTATTTGGCTCGCACAAGGTCTCAACTGCGCTTAGCGGTTCACGTAGAAGAGAATCCCAGCCATCGGGAGCACAAGCCGAGAAGGAGCGACCTCCCGTCAAACGAAGGCTTTGTGACAAGGATCCGGAGGTGCTGAGCCGGAGAGTAAAGTGAGACGAGAGAGGAGAGGCAGGTAGGGGCAAGACCGTGAAGAATGTTTACAAAAGTCACTGCAATTAAAAACACTAGCCGTACAGGATTTGCTCGCTCTCCGAGAGAGAACAACGCGGGGGGCATGGGGAATTCCAGGCAGTGCGGGAAGGCAGCCAGTCGGTGAGCTGGTGGCAGCAATTGCCCAAGCTCTGTGGTCCCCTTTATATAATGTGAAATGAGTGTTTACCTATGGAAGCACCCAGAGAAAACCCACGTGTACTCGGGGACAACACTCTTTACCATTTAAACGGAACAAGCAAGAGTCCGCGTATTGCCTTCTTCTGGCGAGCCGGGTTACGGCACCTCCTCGACGCCCACGGGAAGGGAATTTGACAACATCTGTGCGATCCACCAACCCTCGCCTCCACAGTGCCAGATTCTCGGTGTGTGCGCAGCCACCACCACTCGGCATGGGCACCGCACAGTGGCACGTTGGGAAGTGAAATCTGGCCTAGCTGGAGAACCGCAGGCCTAGCTGGAAGGCAGGCAGGCGGTGAACCGGCGCCAACAATTGCTCAAGCTCTGCAGCCCTCTGTGTATTAAGATATTTTCAGCCAACGAATGAGTGTTTATACACGTGGGAGGAAACCGGAGCACCTGGGCAAAGCCCCCGGTTGCAAGGGAGCAACACTGTATCCAGTGCACAAGGGGCTGATGATATGAGTCTGCATTCTTCTGAACCACCTTCTGGCAAGCCAGGGTATGGCTCCTCCTCTACGCCCACAGGAAGAGAGTTTCACAACATTTGTGCATTCCACCAACCGCTTACTGCCACAGTGCCACGTTACTGGCATGCCACCCCTGCCGTGCACGTATATTAACTTTCTGAGTGCCTCTGCATGTGTGTGAGCCATTTACACAATTGTGCGCATGTACACATAAAACGTCTTGTAGCAGTGTTGAAATGTTTGGGTGGTGTGCGAGGACCGCCCTGGTCTGGCTGTATCAGGTGAGAAATATTGATCTCGCACCTCCGATTAGCACGGTTGGCTACGTGCGGGTGCCACAGAAGTTCAACGTGCATGTCGCAGGAAGAGAATGTCAGGAATGTTTTCTCAGTCGAGGTGGCTCGGGGGGGGGGGGCTCGTTGGTCTTTGCGGTGGCACGGAGCCAGCACTGCTGAAGTGCTGCAGTGCAACCGCACGCCAACCTCCCACTTGAGATAACATCGTGCCCTCAAACCCAGCGTGCTTGACGGTCACCGCTCGCTCGGTCACTGGGGATTGCACAAAGAATGAATGCCGAAAACTAAAAACAGTCCCTTGTTGTCCTTTTTGTTGTTGTAATAGACATCTGGATAAGCGCAAGGGTAAAAAAATAATTCCGAGGGTTTGTAGGTGTTCAAAATGTGGAGGAAGTAAAAACGTCAGAATAGCATCCAGGTGCTGTGTTAGAGCACTCCGAAAGTTCCAGTCGGGTGGTCATCGCAGCCCCTTAACCCTTGGGAAATGAGAACAACGGGCACTGCTTTGTGGGATGTTAACAGTGGTCGTACATTTGGAGAGACTGGATTGTGAAGTTCTACCACGGGCTGGAGGCCACCAGGGGACACGCGAACGCCACCTGCGCTCGTACCCCCGCAGCGCAAAGCAGTGGGCTCGAGTCCTTTTCTCAAAGATCGACCCTTGAAGGATTGATAATGTCCGTGTCGTTCCACTGTCGCGGTTCTGGAATGGACAAAGAGGCTGCCTTGTCTGCCCAGATGCATGCGCATGGTTGTGTAAAAAAAAAATCGCAAACGAATCACCTTCAAGCTTGTTTCCTTGTCCTCCATTACCTGACTGTGCCGGTTAGCATGAGATGATGTAGTCTGGCCCCGTTGGTGGAATTCATTTGAAGAGAACAGCCCGTACCAGCAAAGGAGCAGTGCTCCTTAAGTGTGCGTGTGTGTGCGTGCACTGTGGCAGGCACACACGTGCAGATGTACGCGCACCCGCGCCTAGACTTGCGAGCTCATTGCACCAAAACGCGACGCTCGCCAATGAGTATACGCGAGAGCGGCCTGATTATCATCATCAGTGCTATGCCCTCGTCTTATTAAAAAAAAATCTAATTCCAAGGACGTTTTCACAGCAGCGAGATCTTGCTTCATTCTGAAATATATGTTGTGCTTTTTATGCACTTTGCTGTGCAGCTTTGAGCCAAGATAAGGAAATTTTTAAGTGCACTTTGCACCGTTCATTTGGTAGCCCTACAGCAGTCCACATTGACCAACATGAGAAATTCTAGTGGCATTTTGTTTTTTTAATTGAATTTAAAGGCTGTAAATTATATTTGATGCTAGATTATTACATTGCCTTGATATGTCATGGCATTGAATGATCAACATCAAGCACTGGTTGCATGAATCAACTGCTCAATTCCCATTAAAGATGTTTGTTGAATACATTCGGTGTGATTGCCAAACCTCTGAGGCGTGTGCTGTAGAGTGGACTTTGAAAGACTTTGTGACTTAATTGCCAAGGTCGAGGCCAATGTGTGCTTAATGTCATAAAACAAAGATTTAAGTTGCATTCCAAGCGGCACCTTCCTAGAAAATAATTTTGGGACGAGGTAAGACTTTCCTGCATAGCGTACACGTATTGCCAATCGACAGCATTGAGCTGTCGAGACGAGGCAAATCCTGTTTTTGACAAGTTTTCTGTCAGCACAGCTTAAAGCACGATGCAGCACAAAGAGCTAAATGGTTGTTACTTTACTCGGTTATCAACACGATATTGATCCATGGCAGTTAAATAAAGAAAGCCGCACGTACTCCTCTCAAATCCGGTGTCCAGGCAATGAGGGCTGTCGGGGAGGCGGCGTGGCCCAGCGCTAGCACCGTCCGCCCTCCCTCCCGCCCGCCTGCCCGCTTGTTCACTTGAATTCTTCCATCAAACGTTGATGTGGTTTGCGCGACCGCCTCCGTGTCTCCTCTTCGTCTGTAGCAGCCGAGGCGGTGGACAGAATGGTTGCCCTGGCGCCATCTCCGCCGCCGGCGCCGCCGTCACCGACATCGATGTCGGCGCCGCCCAGCGGGAGCCCCAACCCCAACAACCCGGCCGAGTACTGCTCCACGCTGCCGCCCCTGCAGCAGGCCCGCGCCGCCGGCACCCTGGCCTCGCCGCCACCCACCGTCATGGTGCCCGTGTCGGCGCTCAAGCACCCGGGACAGGACGGTGGGCGCACGCACCATGCACGCCGCACTCGCCGCACCGTTTCACCTTGCAGTGGTGAATGAGCGTCGTGTACGGTCGTGGTGGTGGTTGGGAGTGGTAATCGCCTGATTAGCAAGCACACCACCACTGCTGCCCGGTTCGGTCTTCCAAGGCAAAATGGTTATTGTTTCACCGGATTCGTGAATGTGTGTCGTGTGGTAATCGTGGGTAGTGTGGTGGTGGCGGTTGGGAGTGGTAATCACCTGATTAGTGAGCACACCACGACCACCACCACTGCCTAGCTTCAGTCTTCCATGGAAACAACGGTCATTGCTTCATCGGATTCCCACTAACTACGGGAGATGTGGACGCCTGAAAATGAGACACCTTCCTGTATGTGACTGTTTACAAATTCTAAACCATGGAGCATATAACCTCACTCTGCCCCAGCTATACGTGTGAAGGCAGTGGTTGGATAGGTGAGTGATGGGGTGAGTGGGTGGTTGCATCTGCAATTCACCAACTCTCAGATAAAGCAATTGATTAGCTCAATCAATGACATCCGAATCTCTTAATAGTTACTTGTCATAGGCATTACAAAATAAGATGGTGGTGATTGATAGCGTTTAGTGGTGGAAGTAGTGCGTGTTCGATTGTTAATACTGTCTGGTGTGGTTGTGGTTGATAATGCTGAGTTTGTTTCATGTTTGTTTTTGGGTTCAGTCACTTAATGATCTGGCCAAATTTCCTACTAAAGGCCCTCCACCACCCGACATTGCCAAATGCATTGTCGCATGTACAAACGTTTAACACGCCAATTATTATCGTTCACGGAGCACGCGTAGCCATCTCAGTAGTTGAACGCGTGTGGCTGTGCTCGACGCAGGGTCCCAGCGGGAGCCGAGACGCGTGTGGTTTGCTGATGGAATCCTGCCCAACGGAGAGGTGGCAGACGCCGCGATCCTGTCGGGCACACCGGGGACGCCCGTGCCGGGGTCCTCACCGCCACCCACCCCTCCACCTGCTGCTGCTGCAGCAGCCCAGGACCTTGGATTGCCCGTATCGCTCAGTGAGGTGCCTGCAATTAATTCCTTTTATCGTAAACTTGTAATGACGCTTAGTTGCCGCTTAGTTTAAGTTTACGTAATGCTGTTGTTGATTCTTTCCGACTCTGCTCATGTTCACTTTGTGTATTGAATTGCAATTCATGTTAAATTAACCTTGAACTTAACAGTTACATGCTAATCTCTCACATTAACATAGCAACTTCCGTGCCCTCTAATTTCTCACATTAACATCATGCTAATCCCTCAGATGAACATAGCCACTTCCGTGCCCTCGTTTAGGAGGCCGCTCTTCTATATTACAGTTACATGCTAATTTCTCACATTAACATCACTCGCCCCGGCCACTTCTCTATAACCCTTGGGCTACACCCATTTCAAACCTTTTAAAACAGTCTGCCTCAGCAGCAGACCATGCTTTCCTACCTGATGACGGATGCTTGTGTTGCGCCCGAAACGTGATTTATTTTATTTTATACCTACGTGACTTTACCGAAAGAACCAAAGAGTATGGTCTGCCTTGTTCACCCCGTATTTTTAGGCCAAATAAACCTTTAAACAGGAAAATGCCAAATTATGCGCAAAACCAAATTCACTCGTCACAATTAATTTGAGTAACCGACTCAACCGTTAGCCAAGCGCTGCTTCAGAATAACCAACATTTGCAATTTATGCCTTTTTATATTCAACCTACAGTAGAACATCTGTTTATTTCCTGATTGTTAAAAATGCAAGAGTCTCGGTGTGTTAATAAGTTATGAAAATACAATGAATGTACATACCTTCACACACCGTGCTGTGTGGTTTCCAGTAGGAAGCAGGAGGGAGACAAAATCTGGCTTATTGAGTAATTTTCTAATTTCCAGAACTGAGCTGTTCTTCATTAACAACAAAAAGCTCAACATCTTCGGTAGTGATGGCCTTGAGAAAAAAAACATTACAATAGGTGACATTTTGAGTAATGGCCCTTCATAGCATGTAAATTATTTATTTGACGATATTTTTAAAATAGTTGTGCTTGTGTACCACTTTCAGCGCACTGTGCGCTGTTATGCAAGAATCCCCCACTATGCATATAGGATGTGTTCTTGGGAAATGCTACTTAACTCTAAATTACTTAAAGCTAACTCTAATTTCCCACATACATCATGTTAAAATCGGGGGTTGCGTTCCAAGCCGACATTTCTGGAAGAAAAAAAATGCGTGACGAAATGCCATGAAGTGTACAAAAATACGTATTATTATAAGGTAACATACATTTCAACTAATAATAAATAGGTAAAATTAGATATACATATCACGAGAGATGTTTGAAGAGCTTGCCGATTGAGGTCTCTTGGGGTGAGCAGTGATGGGGTTATGCAGATGAAGGGCATGATCACCTGCCTCTTCATCTGACGATGAAGTTGCAGCCATGGGATTGCTCACCAGATAAAGCTGGCGGTCTTCTTCCGGGCTCTCCTCTGGATTTTTCGGCTTGGTTGCAGAACATTAAACAAAAAATCATTCCAAAGACAGCTGGACAGCATTTCCCTTCTTCTGCGGGTACAGCTCCACGTACTTTATCTGCATTGTCGAGTCAGCTTCCCTCCGCCACGTGGAGGAAGATCCCTCCACGTGGCGGAGGGGTTTTTGGTGGTACATGCCGCAGTGGAGAGAGGGGCGCCACGGTGGCGGGATGTTAACTCCCTCGTCTAGTATGCAGGAGGTCGTGGGTTTGATTCTGACCCTGATGCCTGTATAATTGGGGTTTGCATGTTCTCTCTGTGGTCGTGTATTTTTCTGCAAAGGGGAAAAATAAGCTGCATGCCGCTGTGATGTGTTGCGCTGCCCTTGATGAGCTCTCCAAAACGGTTATCATTTCCACTTATTGGACAGCAATAACAGGGTCTGACGTTTTCCGTTGGATGTGGTAAAACGGTGGTGAGCAGTTAACTACCTCACCTGGTATACAGGAGGTCGGGGGTACGATCCCGAACTTGATGCCTACTGTATATTTGGAGTTTGCACGTGGATTTTTCTCCAGGTCCTCAGATTTTTACCTCCACATTTATAAACGTGCGTTTAGAATATTTGGCTGCTATAAATTTCCACACGACAATCCACTTCGTTGAGCTATATTTGTGGCCAGGTTGCTTCTGAAAAATAACTATATAGTTCAGTGGGCCTTATCTGGTAAATAAAACAGTTTAGTTTATAGTTAAGTTTTGTGTGCTGTATGGTATTACATTGCAAAATAGTCCGTTTTCACTGCATATGTTCCTAGTAAAATAATTGTATAATGAAATATGTTCCCGAAGTAATCGGCACCGTATAGGTAAAGCGACGCCATAATACAGCAATGTGCATAGCCAGGGAATCCTGTACTCTTTCATTTATAGTATGCTCCTGACTAAGACGGCACGGCACCATCCTTAGATTCAAGAAATTCGTCTTTTGTTTAAACAAATCTGCCCAGGTGCCTCACTGGTAGATTGAGCGGCTCGCAGTCGGATGCTTGAAAGTTAAAATCTTGGTTGGGTGTCAATAAAATCAGGACCACTTTATAGGGAAGTCAAAGTGGTTGTCCAATGGATCGACTTTTATGAGTGTCATAGGAAAATGTAATTTCGACCACTGGCTCAGGGCTGTAAACAGGAAACTAAACTGTGAACTAAACAATTTTTTTTATTTTAACAGTGAAGGTCCGCTGAGCTACATAGCTCATTTTCATAAGCGACCTGGCCAAAAATGATAGCTCAACGAAGTGGCTTATAATGTGTACATTTATAGCAGCCAGATAATTTAAATGCATGGTTCTAAATGTGAAGGGATAAAACCGGAGGCCCCGGAGAAAAATCCACACAACCACAGGGTCAGACATGCAAACTCCCAATTATCCAGGTGTAATGTAGCTCTCGGAGACACCGTCTTGTCTTGAGTATATCTATTATGAATGAAGTCAACTGACAACTCAACAAGTAACCGGGGAACCATACTGTCCCGCTATCGCTCCGCACTGTCTTTACATCGGCGTCAGGGTCGGGGTCGGACTCACGACCTCCTGCATACCAGACAAGGTAGTTAACATTTCGCCACCATTGCACCCATGCCTCAATGCTCATTGAGCAGCAGCAGCAGGATGTCACCGTGAGTTGTGTTTTTGACACGCATGCACGCGTCCTCACTCATCGTCACCACGTGTGGGTGTTTCTCCCAGCCGGAGCCGCTCCCGCCAACGGTGGCCCCTGCGGTCCCCGTGACCGCCGTGGTCCCCATGGTCCCCGCGGCCCTTGCGGCCTCGTTGGGCCCTCCGGCAGCTCCCGGAGGAGGTCACCGTGTCCTCCCGGCGCCCACGGGCAGCCCTGTGGGAAAGGGTCTGAACCTCATCCCGGACGACGACGAGGGACTGCCCCCCATCCTCATCTCATCCGGCGTCAAAGGAGGTGCGTCGTCTCCCTGGCCCAGCCCTTGACACTGAGAGCTGCTGAGCGTGATGGCAGTGGTGGTAGTTCTGGCAGCGGTGGTCGTGGTGGTAACGGTGGCAGTGGTGGCTGTAATAGATGCTGCACATGTAAGTCTTCTTCTTTTGTATAGCAATAACTGGAGAGCAACAACTACAATTTCACATGCAGGTGGTGAAGCCAGACAACCGCGTCAGGAGCAGCGGACTGTATCGCTGTGTAATCTCCGTTGTATTTGTGTAGCGGGTATTGCGTCGTTATACGTTGTATGGGCTGTAGTAGTGGAAGTGGTGGTAGTTGTAATAATTGTGGCAGTTGTGTCTGTAATGGATGCTGCACATGTAATGGTGCATCGATTCATTGATTTAAAATAGAAAAAATGTATTATGGTAAATACATAAAAATTGTACATGTGGAAATCAAATTTTTTCGATGTACGTACATTGTATGTAATGGGTTCAAGTGACCTCTGCGGCCAATAGATCTGCTCGATTCACCTCATTGTTCAAAAAGGAATTTATTCTTGAATAAAATCACGAAAGTCCAATCGCAATGCAAGAAGGGCCAATTGTTAGATGTCTAGAATAGTCTCACGCTGTGTTTCGTTGACCTGTTAGCAGCAGTTGGTGAGCGAGCCGTAGCCGTGTCTGTGTGTTTGACGTGCGTGCCGTGCGGGTCCCGTAGACTACTCGGTGGAGGAGAGGCCATCGCCGGGCCTCCTCGTCGCCGTGCTGGAAGAGGCGGAGACCCGAGGAGGAGGAGGGGCGGACGCCACTCCCGTCGTGTTTGTGCTCAACGCTAATCTGCTGGTCTCCCTGAGGATCATCAACTGTGAGTGACGTCACAGCCACCCAACCCCTGCCACCCACTCATCGCAGCTGACACTCCTTGTGGCCGCTTGCGGTTGCGGCCCGCACTACTCCACCCACAACAACTGGTCTGTCGGTCCTTCTGTACTACTCCAACCGTAGATTTCATATCACCTGCGTCTGTCCTGTGACGTCTCTCGCTTCATATTCAAGACTTCTACCCCTTGATTGATTCATAATTGATTTCTGGGTTAGGTCACGCATTGACCTGGCCAAATGTGTGTCCTTAAGACCTTCCACCATCCGACATAGTGACACATTCAATTGTCGTGTTTGGCTTGCTCATCAGGTGAGATGAAGAACAATTCTCACAAGACGATCTGGCTTTTCACTTGAAATGGCGACAAGTATCTTCAGGACATGATCATGAAGATACTTAGCTCTTGATTGAATTTACAATGTCAATCTCTTTGTTGGAGTAGAGACATCTACTCTGGTGTAAAGAGATGGGTGTTTGAGGCAGGAATAGTTTCAGTCATAATCGAGACAAATGCGGCCGGGTGTGGTGTTGGCCACCCACCCCCTCGTGCGCCGTGCCAGCCCTCAGAGGTGCTACTCACTCACAGTACTTGCCCCAGCAGTCTGTTAAGGTTACACGGGGGATCTTTGTCTTTGTGTGCGCTTGCAGATGTGAACCGGCGGTGCTGGGTGTTTGCGACGCGGGGCATGCACGCGGTGGGGCAGGCCGAGGTGGTGGTGCTGCTGCAGTGTCTGCCCGACGAGAAGACCGTCCCCAAGGATGTCTTCCACTCGCTGCTGCATGTCTACACGGACGCCTACAAGGGTGTGTGCGTGCGTACGCGCGTGTGCGCAAAACCCACTCTTGTGTGGCCGTTCAAATAACTCCTAACGATCACGCAAATTCACCACCAATTTTCAAGACACTTTTCCAGCGAGTGTTGTGCATTGCAATATTCGGATAATGTATTTTTGTCAAATACATTATTTTATTCAGCATTAAAACGCACAGCCACTCGCCAAGTGCGCAAGCGGAGCTTAAGATGCAAACAGACACAGAGGCACGTATTTACACAACCTGTGTCGTCGGTGCGAGATGGCGCGAGTACACGAGTGGGGGGTGTTCGTGTGGTACGGGGAGCTGGTCATTGTAGATGGTTCAAAGAATATGGAACGAGTTGATAAGTGTCACAATACTTTTTTAACAATGTTTTGTTAATTGGGAGTAAACCAGAGGAAGCCCATGCATATGAGGGGATGACACTCAAAATGTCGATGCAGAAGAGGTCACTAACCCGCTTGCTCTATTACCATCTTGCAGTAGTTAGCACACTGGTCCTGGTCCTCCCCTAGGTCGACTCGGCCTCAATTGAATATTTGGTGTGATGCGTAAGCATCACCACTAAGGGAGACAAAGTCGACATGGTTACTCCACCCCCTCATGTGCTGTGCCGGCCTTCATAGGTGTTCGCTAACCGCACTTGCCCCAACAGTCTGTTAATGCGACACGGGGGATGCTTGACCTTGTATGCACGTGCATTTCCGTGCGCGTCACCAAGCAGGCAAGCCGGTGGGACACCTGGGCCACTCGTTCCTGGGCCGTGGCTTCCTGGGCAGCCGCGAGCATGGAGGCTTCCTGTTCGTGTCGCCGGCCATGCAGGCGCTGCCCGCGTGCGAGCTGCCCCCGCAGCCGCTGCTCTTCGCGCTGCTCATCCAGAAGTGGGAGGCTCCCTGGGCCAAGGTCTTCCCCATCCGTCTGATGCTACGGCTTGGGGCAGAGTTCAGATGTGAGGGAGGGAGTTGGGGGGGCACGCTCACGCTCGCGCTATCACACATGCGCACACGTGAACACTCTCGAACGCACCCACACATGCGCTTCCACTAACGCACTCGCATGTACACCCGCACATACTCAAACGTGCACACACACACATTCTTGCACATATTTAGGCTGACGCTCTCACTCATCCAACAATAACTGCCATTCGCCACTAAGTGGCGGTAACATCACAATTACGCATGTACCAGGCACGGTGCACCTTGACGCCGCACATGCTCGCACATGCCCACACACACCTGTTCAAACATGCACACACACCTGTTCAAACATGCACACACACACACACTCCCATACATTTTCTTACCCACACACAAATGCCTACATACTCAAACACAGCCGCCATTCACCACTAAGTAGTGGTTACGTCACCACGGTACTTGTGCCAGGCCAGGTCCACACACACATTTGCACAAGGGCAAGATCATGGATGCACGCACACACGGCCAGGGTTGGTGTTGAGGGTGGGGTTCTGTAGTTGTTGAGTTTAACAAAGTAGTCACGGTGTCTCCCTGTTGAGCAGCCCTCCTCCATCTTAGCATCCCTGAGCACTGCTGCAATTCCTCATTCCCATGGCAGGGGACAACCACTGTGGACCTCCTGCAAATGGTACCAATGTATTATCTATTGAGGGATGATGTGGAGTTGAATATACTGCAGCTGTAACGGGAGAAGCAGTATATAAACAATGTGCGCTCTCCTCCATTCCACACTCCCCTCTGTCGCCCACGCCACCGCAGTCTACCCCTGCCCCTTGTTCAGCGTGCGGTTCCGGAAGCCGCTGTTCGGAGAGACCGGGCACACCATCATGAACCTACTGGCGGTGAGTCGCCCGGTCCCTGCGCACACGTGAGCGCGTCTTATTATGACACATGCTCGCTCACATGACTTGCCCCAATCTGTCTATTCAAGGCTATATGTGGGATCATTGTATTTGTCACTATGATGAACATTATATTCCAGCGACTTCAGAATCAGAATCTTGGTTTATACTGGAAAAATCCGATGAGCTATGGGAGCTCTTTTTCACAGATGTCAAAAAGTTAGAACAAACAATTTAAAACAGATCAGAGTGCAAAGTTAAAGTTACGCAAGTAACTCAATGAAAAATAAATAAAGTGTCTATGTAGAAATGCAATGGTCATGTGCAACATCAGCAGCAAGTGTACTATCCTGGCCCTCTCCGTAGTCAACTCGGTAGCACTGAGTACCCGCTGTGGTGTGTGGACATCTGCAATGGGGAAGCATGAGGTGCAACCTGTGGAGCTTATGCCGCTGTGATGTGCTGTGCTGCCCTTGATGGGCTCTCCCAAACAGTGATCATCTCCACTTATTATAAAGCAAAACTAGGGTCTGACGTTTTCTGTTGGATGTGGTAAAGTGGTGGCGAGCAGTTTACTGCTTACCTGGTAGAATAAAAAAAATTAGAAAACAAATATTTAAGTATCGCAATGCGATACTGGCATCCAGAGTTCTGTTCATAATAATAATGAAACATTTGAAGCGTTTACTCTTAGGCGCGCTGTGGCGCCGCTGGCTGCAACGCCGCTGGCGCCGTGAAGCGAAATGCAGACGTACGTTTCTGCCCGCGGAGCCTTGCCTTGTGGTTTTCGTGTGGTAGGACTTCAGAAACTATCAGTACAGCCTGCCCACCGTGCCGGGCCTCGTCGTGAGCATGGAGATGGGCCACACCTGGATCGACATCCCCAGCAACCGCTACAACCAGGTGGGGGAGCTCACATCATCGCGGCCCAATGCGAGGGCGCGAGATGCAGGTTGGGGGGGAAGGGGGATCTCTGCAGACCATGGGAACGGGGGACTTGTGACGACGGGGGGACTCTTAGTTCGTGACACGACAATGAGAGCCTGAGACGATTTGCCTCTGAAGCTGGTAATCCTGAGCTTAAGAGTCAAACATTTGTTGAAGAATCGATGCAACGTTGGCACTTGTGTTGGTGATGCATCACCTGAGATCCCTTTCAAAGCGAGAACCTTTTTGAGAGTGGGAAGTCAGTCGGTTTGTTTTGGGAAAAGATCCCACAGAGCTAAGATGTGGTAGCAAGATCGTTACATGGGAATGGAGGGTGTACAGGGATTGGTTAGAACAAATGCAGGGATATTTCATATAATATGGCTAATAAACGATAACATATGGCACTTTAAATGCCATTTAAACACATGGCAGAAGTAAATTATGTTGGGAGGGCCCATACCTAGCTCAAGGAAACATTACACTCTCTACGCTTCTGGAAGTAGCATTGTTTTATTATTCTTTTTCTATTGATGTGACTTTACAGAAAGAACCAAAGAAATAAGCATTTTAGGATTTCGGATTACATTTGAAAATCCTTGTTACCATCTTTCCACGCCCGCCCTCTGGCCCCGGTCCCCACGTCGAACCCGTCCACCGCCGCCGTGCGCCGCAGATGGTGAAAGTGCTGAACGGCGCCAACGAGCACGTGCTGGCGTTCGGTGCCGTCTTCAACTCCGCCGCCGACTCGCACTTGGTGTGCGTCCAGAACGACGACGGCAACTACCAGACGCAGGCCATCAACATCCACGCGACGCCGCGAAAAGGTGCTTGGCGGCGCCTCCGACTCGTCGCACTGTCCACTCCGAGCATCCCCCCCCCCCCCATGCTCAGTAGGGGTATGGGGGGGGGGGCAAGGAGGGAGTATAACGCCACGGTGGCGAGGAGATGTAAACTACCTCGCCTGGTATACAGGAGGTTGCGAGTTTTATCCCGACCCCGACGCCTATTGTATCTCTCTCCCCAGTGCTCGTTTCTCTGTCTGCCTGTGTGTGTAAATCGTCTATTTAAGATGGCCGTCTGTTGGCTTTGCGTTGTGCCCACAGTGACGGGAGCCAGCTTCGTGGTGTTTAACGGTGCCCTGAAGTCTTCCTCGGGGTTCCTGGCCAAGTCGAGCATCGTGGAGGGTACTTGCCCAAGCCGGCTTATGTGAAATGACAACGCGAGGATTTGCACTCAGGAGATGCAGTGTCCAAGCGCGTGTGACATGGCTGATAACAGCGATGATGATGAAACTTACAAAACGGTCGAAAAAAATTTAAGTTAAGTTTACATGCCGTGTCCATCCATAGGGGGGGGGGCCCCCATTGAAGTGCCTTCCCCTCCTGCAGGGCCCCCCCATTAAAGCCCCCCCAGGCCCCGCCCCCCCGGCCATGTGCCTGCTGGCGATGGTGTGCTGCATCAGTGGTAAATTGACAAAGTGAGCGTCCCCGTGTACAAAGGCAACGGAAGAGTGGGGTTAGGGTAGGGTTGGAGTGCTATTCTCTAGTTGGCGAGTTAGAGTTAGGGGTAGTGGTGGGGCTAACACCAGATTTGCTATTTGTTTAGGGTTAGGGATAGAGGCAGTCCTAGCAGCTGTTTGCTTCGGGTTAAGAGTTGAGCCAGTGCTAGTGTCCGGTCGGCTAGCTGGTTAGGGCCAGTGCTAGCAGCTGGTTGGTTGGCTAATGGGTTAGGATTAGCGGTAGAATTCAGGCAGGTGTCTGTGTGTGTGCGTACATGTATGGAGCAGTGATGTAGCGTTCAGCTGCGCGAAGAACCTGGCCACCCGGGTTCGATTCCCGCACGCCGCCATCACCAGTAATGATGATCTGAACCTATCCTGGGCATCCCCTAGGTCGACTCAGCCTCATTGAGTACCTGGTGCGGTGTGTAAACATCGCCACTGTGGAGACAAAGACGGCCGGGCGTGGTCCTGTCCACCCACCCCCTCGTGTGCCGTGCTGGCCTTCATAGGTGCTCAGTAACAGCACTTTCCCCAACAGCCTGTTAAAGGCTATACACGGGGGATCTTTGTCTTTGTTGTGCAGACGGGCTCATGGTGCAGATCACGGCGGAGGGGATGGAGGCGCTGCGCTCGGCGCTGCGTGAGATGCGCGACCACACGCTGGTGTGCGGCCGTGCCGACGGGGAGCCTCCTCGCGAACACGTGCACGCACGCTGGGTCGCCGACGACGCCGCCTTCAACCGCGGGTGGGCACGCACGCACACACGCACGCACACGTGCAGATTTGCGTGTACTGACACGCGTACGTATGCATGCATGCATGGACACACGCGTACTAACACGCACGTACACACGTACTCGCGTACTGACACGCGTAACGACACGTGTACGCATACTGACACGCCCGTAAGCACGCACGCACGCATACTGACGCACGTGCGCATGCACTCTTGACGCACACACACTTGCATGCATACTGCCGCATGTGTGCGCACACATGTGCGACAGCGTCGGCGAGCAGTGATGAACGGCATTGTGAGATGAGCGCTACGAGAGGGCCCGACACAGTCAGACAGGTTCAGTAATGAGGAGCACCGACCACAGCAGTACCGGCGCGAGATGCAAGAGAGGCAACGAAGCATCGCTCGCAGAGAGAGGCCCAGGAGGCAGGGCTGGCCCATCATCTCACGTTCACTCTTTTAGCAGAGCGACGCGGGCATGCCCTGGAACCCGCTCCTCGTGGGAGGGAGTCTCCGTCGCAGGGAACGCTGTAAAACGTTTATAAAACTCGGATTTGACGCAAAATGTAAGAAACGTGCTGTGGCTGAACGCCGCCTCCAACGACTTCCGTTCCGCCACCCTCTCCCCTGTGGTTTCCAGGGTAACGAGCCCCATCGATGGGCGCTCCATGGAGGGAGTTCCCAGCGTCAAGATCTTCCAGGGGTCAGAGTTCAAAGGCAGCGGGAAGATCATCAGGTGGACGGAGGTCCGTATACACCAAGTGATGTGCACGTGTGTGTGTGTGTGCGTGCACAGTTGGGGAGCGGTGGCTTAGTGTTTAGCGCACTGCACTCCAAACCCGGCGACCCGAGTTCGATTCCTAATCACGGCCAACACCCGTAATGATTATCTGACCCTGTCCTGGGCCTTCTCTCGGTCGACTCGGCTTCAAATAAGTACCTGGTGCAGTGTTTAAACATCGCCACAAAGGAAGGCAAAGGCAGTCGGGCGTGATGCTGGCACTAACAGCACTTGCCCAAGTCTGTTCTGGCTACATGGGGGATTTATGTCTCTGTGTGCACACGTGTATTTGTACATGTGGGGAGCAGTGGTGAAGTGGTTGCCAGACATGCACGTGATGTCTGAGCCTGTCTCGTCCCTCTGCGTGGCTGGCCCGGCCTACAAGCCGCACCCGGTGTTGATAAGTAAACTATGTCAACCGAAATATAAACATGAGACCCATTTAAGTACTGTGACGGCCTTGACAAGCATGTGTGAATATGTAGATGTGCGTGTGCAATTTAAATGTTGTCTGTATCGGACCCTTTTTCATCGCAGTTGTGTCCATAGTATCTTAATAGGGGTTTCTAATTCATTTATTTCAGTAAGGCCACGTAATGATCTGACCAAATTTGTGTTGTAAAACCCTCCACCACCAGACACAGCCGATCAAATAACATTGTTACGTGCGCAAACTTTGAAGAACACGCCAATCATCAATTACGCTCACTCAGATTTCGAACACTGGTACAAAATCGTCCAGGAAGTTTGAATAAAATCCAGTGCATTAGAATGCTTGTAAATGTGACAGTTAAATTGGTTTGGTTGAGTCGAGTGGTGGAGGGTCATTGCACGCAAATCTGCCCAGATCATTACGTGGCCTAACCGAATAAAAATCTATTCTGAACAGTTATATTGTCTTCATAAATCTACGTGTTCAGTCTTGACGGGGAGTTTACGTGCGTGTGTGTTTATTGAAGTGTGTGCGTGTGCGCTCATTGTGGTCTGCGAGCGCAGGTGTTCTTCCTGCAGAAGGAGGAGGAAGGCGTCGGTGAGGGCGGGAGTCGGGAGGGCGGTACGTCGACCTTCGACCCCGCGGACCACAGCCGCGTGGCGGAGGCGGTGGCGCGCGCGTTTTGCGTGGCGCTGGCACCTCGCCTCAAGGAGCTGCGCGAGGATGGACTCACGCAGCTGGGGCTACGCCTCACCCTGCACTCTGAGCAGGTACTGCACGGAGCTACTCCTCCCGTCGCCCCCCCCCGCCCCCGCGGTGACAGTCGCTGACGGCGGAATCGCGGGCAGTTTCTGCAGAGAACAGCGGGTGGATTCGCCACTGCGGCCCTCGTGTCACGGGGATTTTAAAGAGACGCATTTAATTAAAAAACAAATTTGGTCATAGATATAAAACCGCGCTGTACCTGTGTATGGTGAACTTCTTTCGCACCGTATGTAGCCAACTGTGCTCATCGGAGGCGCTCCAAAAGCTTGAAAGTTTGAACGGCAAGCAAAGCGGCGCCAACTTGTTGCGTGATACATCTTCACGCTGCGCGGCAACATCACGTGGCAGGGCAGGGCTGGTTGAGTCCTGTACTTCACAGCCAATACGCTCGCATTATTAATCGTTAGATTTATTGTCAGAATTAAATGTGATTTTAAATGCATTTGATGCTTTTTATTATAGAAAAGCAATATAAATAACAAATGCATATCGTTAATAGGATAACATTGGTCTCGTGGAAATAACGGGGTTGAAGAAAACAGATTTTCCGGGGCTATCCCAATCCTGAATTAGTCCCGGGACTTTGAGGACACATGTCGGACAAGGCTAGTCAGGAGAATCGTTGAGCTTCCTGCTCGAAGGAGTGGCTGGGAGTGCTCATTTCTGTTGACAGCCCCGAACCAGCATTTAGAAATTCCCCACGCTCTTGAATGCCTCTCCATAAGGCAGCCACCGCTGACGGCAGACGCCGCTAACCCTATCTCAAGCTAAATTGGGGATCGTTGCCCTCTGCGTGCGCGTTCTGTGACCAGGTCGGTTACCAGGCCGGAGGAAACGGGCAGCCGCTCCCCGTGCAGTACATGAACGAGCTGGACTGCGCGCTCATACCCATAATGCACGGCGGTGGAGGAGGGGGCGGCCCGGGCGATGGCGCCGTGCGCATGGAGCTCGTCTTCTCCATCATGGAGAACGTCTCCTAGCGACTCAGCGGACCGTCGCCGGCACGAGGCTGCTGTTGCTGTGGCGACGGCGACGAAGCGGCGCTCCGCGAAAACCGAGTTGCTGCCACTGCGCCTCCGTCCATTTTGATGCTGCGAGGGTCCTTGCGAATTGAACGGATGTCATATATTTTCGAACGAGCCACGCTCGTTAGCGGCCCGTGTCTTTCTCTATTTCGTTATTTTTCAAGCCGCTTTGATTTCTACCAAAAAAAAACGTCTCGACGTCCAGTTGCCGATTGTGCCGGGAAGAACTGTCCGAGAGTGAACTGTGCATTTTCACTTTGTACGCATGAGTGTAATTTTACGGTGGGGACTTCGGAACGTGCGCACGCACGTGGACACGCGGACGCTCGGGACGCGAGGAGAGCGCCGCTCACCAGAACTTGGAACAACGGCAGCCCCGCCCGCTTGGCATGGGCACCGCACCACTCCCGCCAGCGCCAGTCGACAGCAGACGCACCGAGACGGTCGTACAAAACATACCAGGCCTCAACTGACACACGCAACGCACCCATAGCACATCCTTTCTCCCGCGGTTCAGCCTCCTCTCACTGATGAAATGCATTTACAGCAAAACCATTTAAAAGGTCTCAGCACTGATGATACCCAGTCGGCGCTATTGGAATCGCGTTCTGATATGGAAAAAATGTCCTCACACAAATGGTCAGCAGAGCTCCACCTCGTCACTCGAAGCGTCGCCGTTTCCCAACGTGGGGCGTCTCGCCTGGATACTCTTGTAAAGAGTGGTCCACACATCGCTCACCTTATTTTATTTCAGCCCTCGGAATTGAGAAGAGTCTAGTTTATTACGAGATATATTTGCGCACGCGTATTAGCGACCTGGGTTAAGACGATCAGCTCACTACACTCAAATGTTTGGTTTCATCAGGACCGGCCACCTAGATTTGCACCCATGTTTAATCGGTGCAGGCTCATCGACCGACATGGCCATTACGAATCCCCTTAGCCACGCAGCCGCCCCTCGGCAGTGCCTTGTGCTGTCATTGAAGCCCAGTCGCTCTCCTTTATTTATCTGGGCAAGAGCCCAACGAGGCTGGCTGGCAAGCTAAATTGATATTTAACTTGCAAAGGAGACCTGGAAACAATACGTCTGAAATTTTATCGGCTCTGAGCTCAGTGAAGCCAACAGCTGTCTTGACTAGTTGCGCACTACCAGTTTTTTAAAAATATTTATAATTGGCAGGTTATTCAAAAGTTTGGGGTTTATTCCGCAGTATTTAACACCCTCTTTACTCAGAGCACTTTAATAAGAATCATGATAATAATTTGATGCTAAAGTTACCGGGAGATTGCCGTGGGAATAAAACCATTGTGTCCACGCAAAGTGGCTCGGTGGCGAGCGTGCTGGCCACTCGGGCTGCTCGCGGACTCGGGCTCCCTGCCTTCCTCGTCGATACTTTGAGCGGTGTCCCGGCCTCAATTTGCGCAGGAATCCAGTGAAAGTGGGCATTCTGCATACCACATAAAATGCATTACGCTGACACCAACTAATTTTGTGTTATAATCAGCGGGGCTTTCTTGTTCACAATGTTAGTGTGTGGACCACGCCTGAAAAGCCACCAGTCGGAATGCTGCTGCTGCTCGTTCTCATTCGCCGACTTTATTCAACAGAACCACGACCCTCTCAATGCGGCAGCCATTGCTAGACTCGCATCATCGAACGCGACTCGCGATCGCGTGCGATGAGCGTGGCGCCGTCGTCATCCAGGTTGACGAGCAAGTGGAGGGTCCGGAGGGAGAGGCCTAAGCACTGTCGACCTGAGCGTCGAAACACTAAATCCTGTTGTATGAATTGTAAAAAAACAAAAAAGTGCACGTTAAAAACACTGGGGCTTGCTTTAAAAAGCGTTGATGTGAATTTTTTGCCGGAACGTGATTCGCTCGCACGTGACCGCTTTTCATCGTGAGTCGCAGCATTGAGGCGGCTGCCCCATTGGCAGGCGCTTTCCAGTTGGCAGCGTCGCTCGGCAACAGGTTGCAGGTTGTCACCGGCTGTCACCGGCGCTGTGGCAGCCGCACGAAGTCTTGACGAGCAATGTTGGCGTGCAGCCCCTCCACCACCCGCCCCCCCCAATGCCTTGCTACTGTCATTGATCTCTCGTTTCGTAGGTTTACTCAGGAAAGTCTCGCTGAGTCGCTAGTTCTAACGGGCGTCGTAATGTTTGGCCAAATTCGTGGGAAGAAACCAGAGTGCCTCGAGAAAACCCGAGCGCAAAGAGGAGAGCGCTCAAACCCCAACAGACGTCCTTCCGGCACCTCATCTGACCTTCGTGGATGCCTCGCACAAACTCCCATCGCTGCGGCAACCACCAACCCCACCTCCCACGTCGCGAGATGAAAGTCCCCTCCCACCGCATGTGGCTCTTCGGATGAAGCTTTTGATATGCTCGCAATATCCGGTGCTAGTGTCTCGTGCAGGTTGATGACACCGTGGAGCTATGCACTTTTAAATCTTGATTGAAAACTCATTTCTTCAGAACAGCTTTTTGTGTTTAGTTTCTTGTCCTTCCCCTGCACCTCCGATTTGCACGGTTGGCTACGTACAGTGAGAAAGAGGTTCAACATAAAGCACGTCGGAGCTCCATCTTGCGAAGTGGGAGGTGGCTCTGTATTTGTCGTAGCTCTTTATGAAGGAGGGCACTGCCATGTGCTCGGATGGATTGGTGTTAGAATTAGGGCTGCCCATTACTATAACCAGTGGCACAGATGTAAATAAATGTGTATAATGTCGACCATACAGAGATTGTTGGTAGTCTGTACCCGTAAATGAACACGCAAAACAAAATATACCTGGGTTTTTATTTAATTTCGTTATCAAAACTATCTGTTGAAAGCTGTTTAAAAAAAAAAGGATTGCTTATTTACCTCTCAAATCGTGGCACCCATCGACGCGACAGTGAGCCGCCACGAGGCGTTTCACGTTCACCTCTGCGCTGGTGTCCCATCGAGTAACGCAGCAGCTCCCGGCATGCACCGTGCGTCGTGGTGTCAACCGGGCCTCATGGGCTCCTCGCACCTCCCGATGGGAAGCGAGACTGCCTTGGCTGTGACGGCGCCCGAGGACGCTGCCGCTGTGCGCCAGGGAGTCGTGTTGCTGTGGCTTTCGATTATCGTTCCTCGGTAACGACGCTCACAAGTCCACCGCGGATTTGCACGGTTGACCGCGTACGGTGCGAAAGAAGCTCTACGTACGTACAAAGCCCAGAGAGCCCTGGGTTCGTGGTGGCTCCAAGGAAGGAGGCAATGTGGGAAATCGCTCCCCCCCCCTCGTTGACACCCAGAGAAATGGGTATTTTCATTTACCACAGGAAACACATTGGATATTTGTAGTTTACGTAGAACTCTATTTATTAAACAGCTTAACATGTTGGGACCGCTGCCTCTCCAGGGGAGTTTCTAGATCCGCCTCCTTCCTCGGTCGCCACCACCAAACAACAGCTTCAGTATTTTTGGGTTACGCCTTCAATGAGGCCGTGGTCTCTGCATTGTCATCAGCGCCTGCATCCGGGAAGCCGAATTATGTGCACGGGTATTCGGCTTTACTTCAGCCCAGACTTGCGCGATTGGTTTTTTTTTTAAAGGGACACGAACCAAATAAACAATCCACTGCTTTATAACCATCCACTCCAGCGGCAACCCCAAATGTCAATTTCGGCTTTTGCATTCTGGAGAAATGAAAACCCAGTTGCTCTGTTGGCGCCTTGGCACGGGCATCCAAACGATCAATTCCATATTACCCCTCAAATGACATCACTTTTCATTCGGTGTTCTTTCAGGGTCGAGCTTTTACACAGTCGCTCCGTCGCTTTTGTTTCGGCTTTGTATGCAGAGCAGTTCACGTGTCCAACTTCATGAAGAAGCCCTTAAGAGGATCTGCTTACCTGAGTGTAAACACCAAAAGCCCGATGGTGGCATGCCCAGTTACTTGTGGCTTGATTGAGATGTTGGTTTTTTTTGTTATCGTTGGTTGGTGGGAGTCCAGGATTCAAACCCAGGGCAAAGCGGCGCAGGGCCGCAGAGTTGTGACGCAGGGACTGTGAGGCGCAGGGCGTGATGTGACGACGACCGAAAACCATTTTATCACTGCGCAGTCTTCCATTACCGACGACGATGTGAAGGATTTGCAAGTGCCGACGAATAATGTATACAAATCAATACTGTGTTGACGATGTGGTTTTTGCACGATCTCATCTTCCTGCACCTTCTTTGGGCAGGGAATGCGTGAAATGTTTTTCATTTACTCTTTACGACTTACATCACCCTGCAGTCGTGTGGCCCATTAGCCCCCCGTCCGTCCATCCCACCACCTCCCATCGGCAGCAACAGCATTATTTACAAGTAGCCTGGAGTCTGGATCACCCTGGGGCGCTCACTCATTGAGAACCTCGTTGAGACGGGCGGGATCTCCGCATGGCACGTGCCAGGCTGTGCGCTCCCTTCCCACAACTTGTACGAGTTTCGTTCACCAGGCGAGAGCCCGATGAGATTATACGAGTGGGGAGGAGGGTGCTCGCATATCAGCCGGTTAGCTCCACATCGATGGTTAATTGATGGCAACAACTTGCTCATTTCTAAGGATGAGTTGCCAACGCATCCTGCCAACTTTCCACGCGCACATGAAAGATCGCATTAATTGGCGATACTCTGCGTTGGCAGTGGTGCACGAGCACAACGGACGCGCACCACACGCTCGTTAATATCGCTGCATTAAAAGGAGAAAAAATGGGAAACGTTTCGGGCAATGGTCCTTCAATCGGTGTGCTGTTAAGAAGGGCCATGGTCCAGAACGTCGCCTGTTTTATATTAAGCACCCTATTTGGTCGCGTGCGATGCAGATGAGACCATGTGCCGCCGTTTTAGCTCGAGTCCCACATGCGAAAGTGACCCACGGCCGAACTCTGAAGCAATGTTCGCATCCCTTTACAACTCTTGTCTATGGGGCGTCTGGAATATTGCACTCACATCTGGGTTCATGGGAACACCGCGGTGAATCTCAGTGGGTGCATCCATTGCACTGTCTCAGCTCTCGCGCGTCATTCTCATACCTGTCAACTCCTCATCAGTGCCCTACCTTATTACAGACTAATTCAGACGGTGCCCTTATAAATCTCAACGTTCATCCTACAAAGTCTCCATCACAAGGGAGAAAAACGAACAAATAATAGATACAACATTGTTTTCCCGTATTTAAACGGCCGTATGGATCTAAAAACTCAATTCTCCTGCACAACAATACGGATAACCCGTGTGGGTTGACATGGTGTCCATTCTCGAGGATCAGCTTTCGACCGTGCCAGGTATCCACGCCCGCTGAGGCTATCTCCAAGTCGCCAGCAATGCACCAGACTTCGACAGATTCTCGTAAAGCTAAGCGGGGAACAAGCATGTTGCCAATGGAGCTGCGGGGGCTCTGCTCTGGATAGCACAGGGGTGGTGCAGACAACGCCAGCGTTGTACTGCACTAATATGATCCCAGTCTCTGCTACCCTCACCTTTCCCCCCTTCAATAGGCCACACTGAAACAGCGTGGTGAAGTATGGTCAGACAACCCCCACAACCCACATGGCATAGGGAGAGCCTCATCCAGCAGGGGGTTAACAAAAGGGCCGATCAAATGATTGATCCTGATTGCAGAGGCATAGCTGGGTAAGCACGGGACATGGGACAAATCAAACTTCCACACTCACGATTTACACTGCCTATATATATAAAACATCTATATACGGCTGACATTGGCCCTAAAAGAAAAGGGCTTTGTGTAGTACCAGCCAACTCTCAAGGTTAACGTTTCGCCTTTAGCACAAGGCGCTGGTTGAGATGCGTTGTAGAGCTTTGCAGTTCCTTTAAAAACGGGTGGCTTGACTTGTTGAATCGCACTGCGGAAATCATCAGACTGGTGGCATTGTGGTGGTAATGGGTTTGCCTCGGTAGAAACCGACTCGCTGGCGAACGCGCTTTGGCTGCTCTCGTCAAAACTTACTCGTCACAGCGAATGATGACACCCCCCCCCCCCTTTATCCCAGGCATTGCAATGTTTATTTTATCGTTCAATATAAAAGTGTCCGATGGAGTTGTTTTTGTAGCAATTGGCATAATCCACAGCGCACAGCAGCACATGACATTGACGCACACACACCTAGCATCGTGGTAAAGTGTGCAGCCTGAATGCAATACAGAACTCCTCTTATCCGCGGCCTGTAACCCTCTACTCATTACCTGAGGCAGCTGTAGGCTCCATGAAAGCACCTGTTTATTATCCCCCGGCCCGATATCCATCCGCGGTTATCCACGATTTTGCCCATAATGCATAGCGATGGGGTCTCCTCATACTCGTGATTTTTTGTGGGGGATTCATCCTATTGTCCACGGGTTAACCTCGAGTTATGTACCCCGCAAATGGGAGTCAAATTGCAGATAACCCCTCGGATAATTGTATCCGCGATATCAGTCCCGATATTACCGCGGATAAGAGGACTGTCATGTTTCAGCGCGGCACTGCTCCATGTGCAGCCTCATGAGGCTGTAGTTGGGAACACATTCAGGGTGTGGAACTTGGCACTGTTGGTCATGGCCAGTTTGAAAAAAATGTGGCCAGTCATATATCTGGAATTTAATCACCATGGGGTTTTGACATCAGTGTCAATGTCAATATACGTGAACATGGTGGCTAGCTTTTTGTGGTGTATAGTTTTCATGAAAATATATGTAATGTCAGAGGGGATGATGCACACTTCTGAGCAGTTTTAACGAGTACAGTATTCATTGTTTTCACTTTGTGTTTTCATTCTGAAATTCTCAACAACAAGAAAATTCCCTCCGCTGAAATATGTCTGAGCAGGACTGCACTTTCTTACCTAGATATCCTGCCAGTGTTTAGGTTGGAGCGTCTAGGAAAGCAAGGGGGGTGTGGGGTCTATAGGCCGTTGAAACTATCTGTCGCAATTCAAATGTGCTCCGTGGCAGTTTAGAATAGTCCTCTGATACTTAGCCCATGCTTCCGCAAAATACAAGACCGTAATATGAAAGGCTGCTAGGTTTAACTTCAGAATATCATGAGCAGCATTATTAGGCGGGAACAGAACGATGTGCAGCAGACACGCACTTTTTCCACAACAAAGACAGACGTGGGTGCTTGGAGCTATGATGGAGAAAACAGACTGCCGGCAAGAAAATCATTCTTATGTCATTGAGATTCAATTTCGAGATCTAAGGGGATGTTTTACATGTTGGAAGTATTCGTGTTATAGAGCAATTGGAAAACGTAATTTTGCTTATGGTGGGATTTATCTGTTGATCAGGATGACTCTGTCGCCATCTGTCCAATGGCAGGGCTTCTCCAACTAGCTCCATCTTGTCCGAATCTTGATATTATTAACTTCACTGTGCCCACCCCCATCACCCCCATGCCCTCACCCCCGTGCCCCCTCGCCTCCCCCCGCCTTCTCTGTTCTAACGAGACTTCTCCTGGTCCCACTGTAGAAGAGGGTCACTGTAAGAGACAATTCGTGTTGTTTCCAAGGTAAGGTTAGGGTTAGGTAAATGGTAGAGTTAGTGATGAGATTAAAGTTACGTATAGATGGGGGTTAGGGTTAATGTCAGCATTAGTAAAGTGAAATTGACCAGATGAGGGCTAGGGTTCGGAATGGATACAATTAATAGGTGTCGGATGTTCAGAAATTGTTCATGTAACTGCTAGTAAGAGGGATAGAGTTAGTGTTATGAATAGGGTTTAACAAATTTGAGTTGCAAAAGCATTTTATTATAGTTTGAATCACTTGTATTTTTTGGATGGTATATTACCCCCACACACAGGCACGTACACTACACACACATCCGTGTATTCCCTCAGAGGCAATTTACACACACATAGATGTGCAAAGATAGGTGTACACACACGTGCGACAAAGATTAACGCAGCGCTGCGTGCCGTCAGTGTTTGTGAACACACGGCACAAAAGGAACCCCCCTTATGTATTTATCTGTATTGAATATGCAAATACAAGCAATAATAAAGATTATTCTTGCAAAGTTGATGCCACTCTTTGGGTGGGTGGGTTGGGCTGGCTTGTGTGCGTCTCCTTCCTGTGATGGCACCTCGTGTACCGCTGGGATGCAGCTCGTTGTTTCATGGGCCAGAGCAGACTCTGGAACCACGAAACTTTAGTCGTTCCAATGTATTCGTACGGCTAATAAGAGTACATGTTTTGTAAACACCCCAGTGTATCAAATGGTATTCGCATGATTCAGTGTTTGGCATCATACATTGGAACTGCGAAACGTCTGCCACCAGGCGGGAGCGGCAAGTGAATTGCAGGATGTGGTTTGGGCTCGAGGATTAAGAAGATCACCGGGGGCGGTGACGCGGCCAAGTCGTTTCGAGTATCGCCGCTTGTTGCAGAGGTTCGCAGTTCGAAGCTGACAGGCTGCCCCGGTTATTACTGCTCGGGTTGTATAGCGTGAATACACAACGTCTGTTTTACAGTGGACGTGAAAGTTCCCGTCACTTCATTCGAAAAGAGAAAGGCCATTGTGTGCCGGCAGCATGGTCCAAATTTGACCCAGTGGACTCAATTGGATTACACTGCAATCATCGCCTCCACCCCCCCCCCCCCCTACTGGCAGACCAATGTCCGCTTGAAGGCCACGCGCTGACTTACCTTGTGCCACACCGGCAGAGCTGCCACTGATGGTGCCCTGTAAGTTGTTTGAGTTGTGATGTTATGCAAGTTGCTTATCGCAGCCTTCTGGGACGCCCTGGTGTAAATGGCGCTCTTTCAACTTGTATTCATGATTTCACTCATGGGAGGCTGAAACAGCGTCATCAGCTTGCTCAGTCGTCCTGTGATCAATGAAACGAGGCCATACACTAGAAAGGAAATCTTGTCCTTTGAGACTGGTCCCTACCATGGAATATTGTCATTGTGTCAAGCCAGCAGTAACGACCACTGTTTGAAGATGAGGGTACCAATATGTGTGTGTGCTATCCCATCTTGGAGCATTTTGTGTTGTGTGCATTGGTTATTGGGGTTCGATTCCTCACCATCATTCACATATCCTGTGGCAGTTCATATACGGACCTTCTCCTGGTCGACTCCATCTAATGCAAGTGTGGTGCGGTGCTCTGGCTCGTTTCCACCAGCAATCAAGATAAGGGCACCTTCCGACCCGTCACGTGGGACTATGGTCCCCACTGTTATAGCGACGAGCCACTGGTTTCTACTAATTTGTGGTTTTACATGGTGATCATCGCCCCCTACTGGTCGACTAATGTCCTATGTGATCATTCCAGCAAACGAGACTCGTCCTGGTCTCTTTAGTTCTCACCTGGTTAATCCCCATGGCGGCTGGGGAAGAGCTCGCTGTTGGATTGGCAGAAGAACAATGCAAGTCATGACAGGAGCTGATTGAAAACACAAACATGACGCACAATAGCAAGAAAGCATGGTCCACAATCACAGCACTGAGTAACGACCCACAGGGAGCAGCACAACACCACTACGTCACATTCTTGAACATGGCGAATCACCAGATAAACAGCATAAAAGGAAACTTCAATAAAATGAGAGAGAAACGAACAATAACTGCGGTGGCCATTTTGAACTGGCCACCAAGTTCGTAGAGTGGCCAGTTCACAATGGCCAACATGTAACATGGCAGAGGCGTAGCTAGGGGGGTGGGGGCAGGGGGGTACATATGTCCCCGGGCGCCAAGGTAAAGGGGCGCCAAAATGAGGCTTACAACGTTACATTATAACTTATTGCGGCGGGCGCGGCAGTCTGAAACTACTGCACAAATCTACACCTCAACCTAAAAGTTTATATATCCCGCCACACACAGCCTACATGTCATGTAATTACATTTTGGTACGCGCGCCTATTAAGAACTTACATGGAAGAACGTCCCAAACAACAGACAGGCGCAGTCTTTCAGCCTTAGTCACTGGCCTGTTTTTTGGTGGCGGAAACTACGACGGCCTGAAACACACTGGAGTGCACTATCAGAAGCTGTTAAAGCTATCTACGAAGGACTGGATGAACTAGTAGGGCTGCTAGACAAATTATCGGAGGACGTAACTATGACGCCTGAAACCAGAAGTGATGCAGAACAGTTACAGGCATGCGTTTTAAATTTTAACTTCATAGTTTTATTACATTTCTGGAATGTCATTCTTGGAAAAATTTATCGTATTCAGAAGCGCTTACAGGATCCTATGAATTTCAAGGAAGCAGCAACTGATCTTGAATCTTTGGGGCATGAATTTGTCAAGCTTCGTGATGATTTGAGCCAATTTGCTGTAGAAAACGCCAAAACAAGATGCACAGCCTGGGAGATCGATGTGGACAGAAGAATTAGGCGACCTCGGAAGATGCCAGGAGAACTGACAAGAGATGCAGGACTTTCAGCAGAAGAAGAAATTGTGCGCGTTATGAAGAGCGTATTTTATCGACTTCAACAGGAGATGTCAACACGGTTTTTACGACTAAAAGACCTGAACACAAAATTTGGATTTCTGCTGGACGTCAAAACTCTTCTATCCGACACAGATGTCGATGCAATTCGTCGAAATTGCACAGATTTTGGAAATTTCTATGACACCGACATCAATGGCCACGAACTTTTCACAGAAATTGGAGATTGCAAAATGCTGCTCAGTAACCGGAATTAAGTTCTACCAGAAACTGCTTTGGATCTTCTTGGTTTGATTGTGTTTTATGGAGACGACATATTTCCGAATTTGCGAATTTCACTGCAAATTTTATTAACAATAGCAGTTTCAATTGCAAGCTGTGAGCGGTCGTTCAGCAAATTGAAACTTATTTTGTCGTATTTGCGTGCTTCAATGGGACAAGATCGTCTCAGCGATCTTGCTCTTCTTAGCGTTGAAAGAGAAACATTGGAAAAAACTGATTTTGATTACGTGATTGACCAGTTTGCGACAGTGAAATCAAGAAAAATTAATCTTTTGTAGACTATGTCAACCAGTCTACGACAGTGACTGAGTGAGCCATGTAATATAATTTCTATAAATTTGCTTCTTTAAATACAATGTTTCATTAAAAATTAAATTATTCCTTAACATCTCGCCACCACGGCGCCCCACAGCAGCGCTGTAGCCACTGCTGGTTTGCCCGCAGTTCAATTGTGGCATATGCGAATTCAATAACATGAATTTACCAATGTATACAGATTCTTTCATTTATTATTTATTTCCCATGAAAAATAAATGTTTTTTTACGTAAACAATGGAGACCTCACAAATGTTATTGGACCTCCACAGCCTGCAGGTCATCAATCTATCTTGCTGTTTCACAAATAAAGATAGTGTGTGTTTGGCCTCGTGTTGCACGGATGGTGCGGCGCAGCTGATCACTGTAACGAGCACCTGGAGTAGTCGGGGGTCTCCGGCACATCTCGAGTCAACCTCGAGACCGATCTACACGACTCGCATTGTTACACAGCTCGCAATTGAAGTTAGACTCATACCTGTGGTGCCAAGTTAATTTAAATTAAAACGCGTATACATATACAAAACCGTAAGGGGCCGTCCATAAGTGACGTCACGCGATTTTGGCCGATTTTTGCCCCTCCCCCCTTCGTCATACCGCGTCACAAAAAGTCAGACCCCCCCCTCTCAAATATGACGTCACAAAGCTCTGCCCCCCCCCCCCAAAGTAAAACATGCTTCAAATCGCTTTAAGCTATTGTCATTGTGGTGCATATTTAATGTGGCGCTGCACTCTGATATTGTAGGAGAAAACATTTATTAAAAAGTCTATTTAATTAAGTAGAACGTGTTGTCTATATGTATTTAAAGTTGCGCATTTTGATGTGACGTCACATTTCTCAAACCCCACCCCCCTCGTCACAAATGTCTGACCCCCCCCCCCTAGGTGCGTGACGTCATTTATGGACGCCCCTTAATGCAACTTCAGTAACTAATGCATTTTTCTACTCAATTTGCCAAATGGTATACCCATGACAGCCACATTGAGAAGATGAGAGATAAAGTCAGCTCCCGCAAAATCATCCGCAAGCTTGCAAACTCAACACGTGGAGCGCGCACAGCCACAACCAAGACCTCGCCATTCGCCCTCGGCTGCTCCAACGGCGAGTGGTGCGCCTGCCAAGTCTGGGAACGATCGGTCCACGCAAGATAACAGACGTTCTGACCTGCCCCTTCCGGACACGTGAAAAAGAACTTTATAGCGCGTCGGATGCCTCCAGTGTGAATACACATTACAATTATGATTCCCTGCCGCATCATCAAAGAGTGCCTCAAAACCCACAAACGTCAACAGCTCGTAACATCCTCGCTGGACTAGCGCCACCGGACATGCGGAGAGTCGTGGCGAGTTAAGCGGAGAGGAGGCGACACCATACCTGTCAACCACCTATCAGTGCCCCCTACCTTATTGCAGACCAATTCAGACCGTATTGGTCACCCCGTGCAATTTAAAATATCAACGCTCTTCCCATCACAAGGAACGCAAGTAGACAGAAAAATGTGCCCGTATTGAAACCTGAAAACTGTATTTCCATGCCCAAGAATACGGCTAAACCGTACGGGTTGACAGGTATTGAACACAATGGAGACATCAGACACCCCCTTGCTTATAACAGCAACGTCCCCCCCTTACTCTTGCCAGTGAGACGCTGAGCCCTCTCTTGGTTAAACAATCACCGCCCCTACTGGCAGACTCGCGCTTGCTCTCCCTGGTACATTTTATACTTTAAAATGAAAATTTTAGACGAGACAAATGTTTACTTTTGAGTTCACCTGGCATGGGCCACGTTGGCGAGATGTTAACTATCTCGCCTGGGACGATTCCGACCCTGACGCCTGCTGTATGTCTGGAGTTTGCGTGTCTCTCGCACCCTTTGGTCGCGCAGATTTTTTCTCCGGGTCCTTCGGTTTTCCCCTCCACATTTCGAACCAACGTGCGTTTAGAGTTTGCGTGCTGCAGCATTGTGACTGCTGTACATTTACATTTAGAGCTGCTGTACATTTCCACGTGATAAGCCACTTCGTTGAGCTATCATTTGTGATAGCCAGGTCGCCTCTGAAAAATCGCTACATAGCTCAGTGGGCTTCAAGCGGTCATATCAAATATAGTTGAGTTGAGTGTTTTAGTTTAGTCTTGAGACTAAACACGACGTGAAGCTAGGCTGGACTGGGAATTCCCCAGGAAGAGCTGGAGTCCATCGCCAGGGAAAGGGGGGAGGTCTGCACCGTCGACTCAACAACGCTGCCGCCGCAACCTTCGCCAAGACACGCGCGGACTGATTTAGTGTGCTGATCTTTAAAGGTGTATTTGACATTTTATTATACTCCTACTTATGCTCCTGCTGTTGTGGAGTGACTCATGCAGTCAGCTATGGCTACAGGGTTTGGTGGTACATGTTGTTTATGTCGTTTATTGTGAAATTTCGGTCACAGTTCCTATGATCACTGTTACATTGCTTATGGCTTTATTTTGGTAATTTCAAAAAGTTTTTTGGTTTGGCCATGTTTGTTTGTTGTAGTACGGAGTTAGACTGATGGCTTTAATATAAGTTGTCTTGAGGTCGTGGTTGTTGCTTGACTTGCATCCCACTGGGATTTTTGAACGAATACACTGTAACATGATAACAAATGTATGTTAATAGCACAGCGTTGTTCTTCTTGGTTCTTTCGGTAAAGTCACGTAGACTCTGTCTTCTCGACAGACCTGTTCTCCACCTGAGGACGGCTGCTTGCGTTGTGGCCGAAACGTCGTGAGAATTATTTTATTATATTTTATTTATTATTATTTTATGATTTCCATTCTACGTGACTTTACCGAAAGAACCAAGAAGATGAATCCCTGCTGCAGTCACGAAAGAAGCTTTACATCGAAAGCACAGCATTGGTGGAAGGTGCTTTTTTCTGGAAGACTTTGCAGTTTTTTCCTGGATTTCTCTGTTTGCGCATAGTCACCTTAAGGTGTTTTCTTGTTCACGTTTTTGTTTGTTGCGGTTGCACCCGATTCAAGAGCCGAATGACTCAAGGGGCGACACCTAATGCATGAAACTGAAACGAACGAACCAACGACGTCAAGCAGAGCCCCATTCGTGCAGCACGTGGAGCCGCGCGGGGTCACGTGGGATGGGGGCCAGAGGGGGAGGGGGGCAGCTTCCGGTGGGGCAGGAACCGGATCTCGTGTGAGAAGAACCGGGTCGTGGTGAGGAGGAGGCAGGCGGCGGCAGCGTGAGACGAGGTGAGGCGGTGGTGGTGGTGGTGAGGTGGTGGTGGTGGTGAGGTGGTGGTGGTGGTGAGGTGGTGGTGGTGGTGGTGGTGGTGAGGTGGTGGTGGTGGTGAGGTGGTGGTGGTGGTGAGGTGGTGGTGAGGTGGTGGTGGTGAGGCGGTGGTGGTGAGGCGGTGGTGGTGAGGAGATGGTGGCGAGGTGGTGGTGAGGTGGTGGTGGTGGTGAGGCGGTGGTGGTGAGGAGATGGTGGTGAGGTGGTGAGGGGTGGTGAGGAGATGGTGGTGAGGTGGTGGTGAGGTGGTGGTGGTGGTGAGGAGAGGTGGTGGTGGTGAGATGGTGGTGGTGGTGAGGAGAGGTGGTGATGGTGAGGAGAGGTGGTGATGGTGAGGAGGTGGTGGTGAGGTGATGGTGAGGTGGTGGTGAGGAGAGGTGGTGATGGTGAGGAGGTGGTGGTGAGATGGTGGTGGTGGTGAGGAGAGGTGGTGATGGTGAGGAGGTGGTGGTTAGGAGATGGTGAGGTGGTGGTGAGGTGATGGTGAGGTGGTGGTGAGGTGGTGGTGGTGAGGATATGGTGAGGTGGTGAGGTGATGGTGAGGTGGTGGTGGTGATGGTGGTGGTGAGGTGATGGTGAGGTGGTGAGGTGGTGGTGGTGGTGAGGAGATGGTGAGGTGGTGGTGGTGATGGTGGTGGTGAGGTGATGGTGAGGATGGTGAGGAGGTGGTGATGGTGAGGTGGTGGTGGTGAGGAGAGGTGGTGAGGAGAGGTGGTGGTGGTGAGGTGGTGGTGGTGAGAAGAGGTGGTGAGGAGAGGTGGTGATGGTGAGGAGGCGGTGGTGGTGAGGTGATGGTGAGGTGGTGATGGTGAGGTGGTGGTGATGGTGAGGTGATGGTGTGGTGATGGTGAGGTGAGGTGATAGTGAGGTGATAGTGAGGTGATGGTGAGGTGGTGGTGGTGGTGAGGTGGTGGTGAGGTGGTGGTGGTGGTGAGGTGGTGGTGAGGTGGTGGTGGTAATGGTGAGGTGGTGGTGAGGTGGTGAGGAGAGGTGGTGAGGTGATGGTGAGGTGAGGTGATGGAGAGGTGGTGATGGTGAGGTGATGGTGAGGTGATGGTGAGGTGGTGATGGTGGTGAGATGGTGATGGTGAGGTGATGGTGAGGTGATGGTGATGGTGAGGTGGTGATGGTGAGGAGAGGTGGTGATGGTGAGGTGGTGGTGAGGTGAGCGCGAGGGCTGCGCGACTGACGTGCGCACTCCCCCCTGTCCCAGAGTGGCGGCATCTTCCAGAACTCGGGGGAAGAAAGGGGAGGGGGCCCGGGGAGGGGTCAGGGGGAGGTCACGGGGGGGGTTAAGGGGTGGGGTCATGGGGGGGTCACGGGAGGTCACGGGGAGAGGCCGTCGGGCCCCCCAGGAGGAAGTGGTTCGCGACTCCACCGCATGACTCGTCACTCCACCACGTCGCTCTGGGGGGCTCCGCGTCACTCTGGGGGCTCCATGTCACTCTGGGGGGCTCCGCCTCACTCTGGGGGGCTCCACGTCACTCTGGGGGGCTCCGCGTCACTCTGGGGGGCTCCGCCTCACTCTGGGGGGCTCCGCGTCACTCTGGGGGGCTCCGCCTCACTCTGGGGGGCTCCGCGTCACTCTGGGGGGCTCCGCCTCACTCGACTTTTGCGTTGCTCGTCACTCCACCGCTCCGGGCCGGGTGGCTATTGAATAAGCGCCTCTGTCCACGGCAACTCGCAGACCGCGTCACTCCGCGGCTCAACCTCGTTACTCGCACCCCCCCACTCGCCCGCGTCACTCCGTGACACCGCCGCCGCTCTCGCCGTGACGAGGGGGCCAGGCCGTCCCCGCCGTGACGAGGGGGCCAGGTCCCCGTGACGAGGCTGCGCTACATCCCCGCGGGGGTCGTCGTCTCGCTGAGTCACCGCCGCTCGTTGTTGTTGTCCGCGGCCGCCTCGCATTGGCCAAGGGCCCCGAATGAATCCGAAACTCCGCCAGCCGCGGGTCGCCTCCTCCTCTTCCTCCTTCTCCTCCTGCTCGTGTCCTTGCTGATGATGTTGAGCAGTCACCGGGGGATAGTGGCCGTGACTCCCTCTGAGTTCATCACGATCGGAGAGAGGGGAGAGAGGGGAGTTGCGTGGCACGGCCATCGCTGATATGCGCAGATAAGACGACGGTTTTATAAATGACGGTCATCATCGTCGTCATCGTCGTCGCCATGCCCTTGCTGCTGTTGCTGGAGACCATCCTGATCAGTTTGGGCATCAGTCGTCACCGTGCTGCTGCGGTCAGTACTGTGATGTAGGAACGATTCCCACCAGCCGCGTCGTCGTCGCGGCGACTGGCCGCTCGCTCCCACAAGTGGGACACTGAAGCCGAGACCCACGGGGGGAGGGGGGGGGAGCTGCGGCCACCCGCGCCCGGCGGCAGTGGGGGGCCGCCTGAGCCGCTCGCTCGCTCGCAGGAGAGAACTTTACCGCGTTCGTCGCGCCAACACGGCTCGCAAACTTAAACCTGCGACGAATCGTCTACACACTACCCGCCCTATGCTATAAGAAGCACTAGGATGACGACAATGATGTGCTTTATACTCAGGAACGCATCTCTTTGAAGATGTTTGTAGTTTTAATATGCCTGTGAACGGCGCCTGGCGCAAGGGGGAATGCACGTGGAGGTGCCTCCCGTCGTTCTCACAGACAATAGGAGCCGCCGCCACCACCACCACCAAGTTATTTCCTTTGTGGTAATCCGTGGAACACCTTTGCAGATTGACATGATGAGAACTCTCAACCTCAACCAGTGCCCCCCGCCAATGGGACGTGGGCTCATTTAGTCACTCCGTCAATCAAAACTAGAATGTAACTGAATGAATGCGATGAAGAGGCCTTTCACGAATGTCATTAACCTCGGACACGTTTCCTGAGTCAAGGCTGTAGGCCGCCAGCATTGAGATGTGTGGACACTTTGTATTGAAACCGCACATCTCTCTCCCTTGATGAAGAGGACTTGCACTCTCCGAGCTCTCGCTGGTGATGATCAAGAGGTCGTCTCTGTCGTGCTGAGTGCTTTGTGTGGGCGAGGAATCGCACTCCTTAAGGGCCGCACAGATGGATTCATTAGCCTCATTGCCGTACAGCCAACTAGCCGCCCTGAGGTCGATACATCTGTGTGATCCACCGGCCCTTTTCCTCCAAATTGCTGGGTTTCGTATTTGACACAACGCACGACTTCATTTCGAACAGGTCACAATGCCGTACCGACGCTGTACAGTGAGGGTTGCTTTGGGTGAGGTTTTGTGTGGTATCTATAGCGCGTGCTTCCAGGCCAATCTGAGAGCCCGGTGGTGACCACTCTTAGCCAGATGAGACGGGTTTACTTCCAGTTTTTGAGGTTACTCTTTGGACAGTTTTAAAATGAAAACGGTATAAAAAAAACATTTGAGTAAGTGATTTATTGCATTCTTGAGCATCGATTTTAGAAAGGTTTAACCTAATTTGTACAACTCAGCTGGAAGTGATGTCTCGGTTGCTGGACGTGCTGGCTCTGAATTTAGTCACTAGTATTTTTTTAGTTTGATCATGTAAGTATAATGTCAGAGCCATGCACCCTCCACAAGCCGACACACCAAACAATTAAAGTTATCACGTGGACAAACGAGCCAATCGATTTTATTTTTCAGCAAACCGATTACTGTAAGTTGAAAAGCAAGCAAACTTGAATAATCTTGGGACATTTTTGCAAGTATCAAAGTATGAAAAATAAGAATTGTTTTACTCTTTCTGGAAATAAAACGGTTGTTAGCATGTTCAAACACCAAAGAAAGCTGGTGTAGGCCAATCAGTTTCAAAGACACTGCACATATTATTCGAGCATATTTGTTTGCATGTTCACAACACGTACTGTGTGTGGTTAATGCAGTCTTGCTTCCTTGCAAAAGGTTTCTATTTGGTGTTTGAACATCTTAACACTTTTTATTTCCAGAAAGGGTAAAACCTATTATTATTATTTTAATATTATAAATTTTATATATACGTAACTTTGCCGAAAGAACCAAAGAGTATAGTTTAATTATGTTTATACGATGTTTATAAGATGTTTATAAGACGTTTTGCTGGTGATTACATCCAGCATCAGCAAGTGTTTGGAGAGCTGAGATTTCTGGTGAATGCGCTTCCTGGTCTGTGTTCTTGAATAAGTGTTCTGCAATCGTCAGAACAGCCATGCCTGAGAGCGGATTAAATAATTATAGGCGAGTGCTGATTGATTTTAATTAACAGGGTTAAATAGTGTAACAAGGTGAATATAATTGGTGAAAATCAGCTATCCTTAATTATATGAAGGTGTAATTTTGGAGGCTCGTGAATGATGCTGCTGGGCAGTTGGAGGCAGTCGCCCTCCAACAACAGCGGAGGGCAGAGGAGCGACGCTCACAACAACAGGGTGGCTAAAGCACAGCAAGTTGGCACAGGATGGTGGTGCATCTGCCAGTCATTTCAGTGAGTCAACCCATGGCACCTGGGTCTGTCCCGTGACCTGCCAGCGAACCTTCGACACTTCACGTGGTCTTAAAGTGCACATATCCTGGCACAAGCGCCGTGGTGACGTCACCACCACTTAGTGACGAATGGTGGTTATAATTACTATTCGTTATTGTAAACATTATTTATTTATAAAATCAACGGAAGTCATGTCAAAATGCACAACTAATTGTTTCACGTGACAAAGTTATTGTTCGTTCCAATATTCGAGTCACAATTCGTTTCTAGATTGTAGTTTAAGGTATTCAACGCCGTATCATATAATTAATGTAATCGATTCTTATGCTCACGACACATGCATGGATCATGCATGTTAGAATTAATTATTTTGATTGACACATTTGCATATCATGTGTTCATGTAATCCAGCTCTGGAGGCAGCGAGGGTTGGTGGATAGCACAAATATTGCGAAACTCCCTTTCAGTGGTTGTCGAAGAGGTGCCAAACCCTGGCTTTCCAGGTGAAGGTGGTACA